TTAGCTGCGAGTTCCTTCGCATACAACCCCTCCAGCTTTCGGATCATGCCATACGCACTTGCGCAGGTGGAGAGCGTGTTAGCCGGGAGACAGCTGGAATGTTCATACGGCTGGCCCTTCATGATACTTATCTGAAGAGGGGTAGAAAAAGGTGTGATGAAATCAAGAGGGGGGCAGTGACGGTGGACGTCACCGGTTCTAAACGAAGATCGCGGTGCATTGTGCCGCATGCATGAATGTAGACTCCCTTGAAATCCTACTTTGACCACAATAGCTTCCCAACCTATCGGGACAGCTTGCTCGCTGGGCAGCCGTTGTCTATTGCACACGTTTCCCAACCACCCGCAAGAACGGTAACACTGAAAACATCGCTATCCTGTATCATCACAATCTTAGTCATCACTGCGATTCAAAGTGAAAACGTCAGCAGATAAGAATGCGACACATCCCAAAGTGGGAGGTCTCGTTTGTTGAATTCGAAAGTTGTCTAGACTTCTTCAATAGTCTCCTCTCATCAGCGACCTAGAGAATGATGCATAGAGGCAAAACCCTGCCTGACAAAGGCTGTAAGTATTGACGCCACGTCTGCACCTTCGAAGGCTATGGGCAGACAAACACCCAGCCAAAGAACCGGAGCTTGCGCAACTGATGACTCGGTGATGACCTCGGGCCGTCAAGGTGGTTGAAAGCCGAAAAATGCCTCCGATCCCGAACATCAATGCCGAAGAAGCGGACATTCGACCATCGAGTGGCTCACCGCATGATGGAAGAAAAATAAAGGCAAAAGTCTCCGTGTCTTGCCTGACACGATCAAAACGCCGTCTCACCCCTGGACCTCCAGAGGCAGTGGTTCCCAATTGAACTTTCAGGGCATGGTTATGTCGCAGTTCAAATCCATCCAAGTAAACGCCGTTGCCCTAGCCAAAACCTAGTCCTTTTCCCATGGGTATATCGCTGAAATGTTCTTTAGACGCTCGTACAATGAAATCGAAATAATAAGAGAGGCTCGACAGATGCGAAGTGGACTGTGCAATTGCCAGGACGATTCAGCTTGGTCGAGGATCGATGGTTGGTCCCGGTCCTTTTCTTCGTCGCATCCTTGGTCGTTGTCTGACAACGTTCTGGCAACGGAGCGCCGTCTCTGCCGATCCTCTGAATCGTAAAGATCCGTAATTCCGCATGCCCCCCGACTTTCCTAACAGCCTTTCTCTGTCGGCAGCTAATGCTTTCTGCATGAGAGCATATTCCTCGTCTTGATCGCAAAAGCCCTCGTCCACTTCGGGTTGTGTCAAGGCTGGATCGATCTCGGGATAGCCGTCGGCATCAATGTTGGGAAGATGAGGATATACAGGAACAGCTGCTGGCAAAGAAGACATTGCTGCAGATGGACGAACGTTGCACTGCAACTCTCCCGAGACCATGTCCTTGATACGTGCCTCTATGGCGCGGGCATTGGTTGGATTGTTGACAAAGCGGCTGTAACGCTGACGCCGAGCTCTCTTCCAATCGGCCACTGGCTGGTGCTCCTTGATATCGTCTGTAGCAAAGTTCATATCGCAATCGTCGTCCACCTCTAGATCGGCCATCGATAAATCGGTGACCAGTGACGAGGAGTCTATCGCCGACGTCACCAGCGGATTTCGTTGTCGAAATTCTGGAATCAGAGTCTGTTTGCTGAGCTCGCGGGCAAGGTTGTCCACGGGTTGTGGTGGAAGTGGCAGTGTATCAAGAAGAGCCGGAGATGATGCCGGGGGGGACAAGAGTCCTTTAGTCGGGTTCGGTAATTCTCGTGAGCGTTGTTTAGGAGAGAGAGATGGCTCCTCGCTAGAACCGTTCGCACCTGAGCGGATCTGGGTTCCTAATGCAAAGTGGTCAAACATCCTTCCTCACGTTTGAGCGGAGGCTGGCGACAGATGGGTTTGCCCTAGGTATGTGTTGACGAGAGCACAGCAAGGGCTGAAGCTTGCTCTGGGGAGGGCGGGCTGCTATTATGAAGGCATCCGCAACGGCGCTAGGGACTGGGCGAAGAGGCGCCGTGGCGGCCACAAAAGGCCCTGGAGTGATTACTCCCGATACTTGGTAGTGAGTGCTAGCAGCAAGAATGACGTTGGTCCAACTCTGAGAGCGTGCAGGAAAATTGAGCGTGGCTGGGACGTTGACCAAGAGGGAATGCTGCCATGTGTTTGGGTATGTGTGTCGTATATCCGATTTTCGTTGTTTAGAGATGTTCGTAACGAGCAGAATATGCCACGATAGAAAGCAGAGTGCGTCTCTCTGCTGGTAGAGACAGGAGGACGAGTGAGGATGAATGAGCGGTAGGGGACGTGGAATGGGAGAAGAGAAGTTGATCTAGATTAGGAGAGACGGTTTCCAACTGAGGGATGGCTAGAGGGCAGGAGGACGAGGAAGACGGAGGAGACTAGTTGTTTTGGCGTAGCGTCACAGAGGATGCTAGCTAAAGTAGTGTAGCTGTGGTGACTGGGCTCGAAGGGGACGATGAATTTGGATGTAAACGGAGTCGAAGAGAGTTGCAGGACGAGGCGTACGGCGCGTGGGCGGGCGCAATACACATATGGTCCTTTCCTTGGGTTGCAAAAGATGCGGTATGTATGGAACCCGTCCCTGTACCAGAACCAGCACCGGTAGCCAGTATCTGGCCTAGCAGTATCCGTACCGTATGGCCGGCACTACTAGCGAGCTAGCGCGGCCAAGTTTCTCTGGAGACAGTGGAGGGACAAGGAGAATGGTTGCACAAAGGCGAAGCTAGAGGTTGGCTGGCGGCACCACCCTGGGACTGATGCTCCTCTTCGTGCCGTGTGACAGCCGGAGAAGAGGATAAGGGGGGACGAGTGAGCGTAGCTACAGCGTTTCGGGAGGGTTTGCTTGGTGGTTGTTGAGCTGAACTGAAATTTCGATGTTGAGAGTGAGGTGATGTTGAGTATGAGGCGAAGGTGCGTTCGGGTACCTATCCGTACGGATAGCTCCAGTTGGGTGAGAAAGGGGCGGAGGCGGAGAAGGGTCAAGATGGGCAAGCCGAAAGATGTTGTTCTGAATGTTAGGAGCGACGAAATACCTAGGAATGCCAATGGCCTGAAAGTGAGGCGAGGCAATGGAAAGCGCGTCAGCTCTGGTGAAGGCCGACAAGAGCTAGACTTGTTGAAGGGATTCGACCGAAGAAATTCTAGGGGTCGAGGGAGCTAGATGGGGATCTTAATTCTTGGTTTGGGGGCTCTCTATGGGCCCTGTCTCTTTTCTGCAGGGACAGCCAGCGTCCGGGAGGGTCAGCGAGGATGACAAGTAGAGACTTGATCGGCGACCGTTGCCTGGTTCGTTGTGTGAGGTGTGCTGTGGTATGTGTGTTCCAAGCCTGTCCTTGCTTGCTGGTCGGAAGGGGTACTAGGGATACTGCGTACGCTATGGAGTACTTCGTACGCATACACAGGCAATGGAAAATCAAGCAACCGGTGAGATCCGGGCCGGGTGGGTCAGAGTAATGCGGGAGTTGAAACCGGAGGATTCCTGGTGATGGTTGTAGGGCCGAGAGGAAGAAACGGAACTCGGGAAGTCAATCTATTTTCCATTTGAGCCTTAAGATTGTCAGCCGTTTGCGAAGATTTCCAGTGACGGTACGGAGTATGGCTTGCACTTTGCGAGTCGGAGGGTTTCGAACGGATATATAATTGAGTGCGCGTAGCAAGTATTCGTACAAAGCACCCGGTAACGTGGACGCGGTTTGAAAAAAGAAAATGAGAGGGGGGGGGGGGCCTGGAAGGATTGAAAAGCGTGCAGATGCTGGGTCGGAGGCGCGCCAAAGGCCCAAAACCGTGGGAAAACGGTGCAGTACCGACGGACGACACCCAGTGATCTGGGTCTGACGGCTGAGTCAAAACGCACGAGGGCAGCTTTGGTGCCCTTTGGAGGAGATTGGATGACGGGCCAAGGAAGGAACGAGCGCCGATTTGCCTGTCTGTCCCTTGATGACTAAAGACCTAAGACCTTTGAGGATCGTCCCCTCCGGGGTTTGGGAAGAACCCGTCCCGCCGTGTCTGCTTCCATCTCATGCAACGCAAAGACAGAGGCAACTATTGTACGTATATCATAGACTAGACTTTTTGTCTTCAACAAGACGGTAGGTATAATGTGAGATCGTGATACCGGTAACTACGCAGTACTCCGTACCATGTGCAGGCAAGAGAGGAGGGGAAAGGCCTGTCCATCCTGGTTGCCGCCCCTAACGGAAAGCAACAAGTACGTATTCGGATCTAGCCCCGATCAAGAAGGCAAGACAGGGGGCCTTGTGGCCCAGATCCCTGGTCCAGTGCTAAGCGAGCCCACTCGACCGCACTGGCCACTTCTCTTTCAATGGAAGTTTCCACTCCCATCCAGGTCCCTGTCCCCTTTCCACCCACAAAGGCTTGTCGCCGGTCGGGAGTCGGGATCCAAGGACAACCTTCAACCACCTTGACGTGAAGTCGCAGTTGCAGTGTCGCGTCCTCATTGTCGGGTATGTGGGGACTCGAACCATTGCGCGGGCCAACGTCCCTCCTGTCTCGCAGCGCACGGGATACCGGGATATCTACGAACACAGCGTCGTGAGCTTGTACGGATCACTTCAGTACACTACTCCGTACAGTCATTAGGTGTAACGTAGCTACTATGGACCACCCGAATCAGTCATGGACACTTACGCTTCATTCATGACTTGGTGCTCCCACGTAGCTCGCCTATGATAGGTGGGCACAGCAGGAGTAGCACAGCAGGTGATGCGAAGAATCTGGCCGGACTGTCAATGGCTTCACCAAAGTGCGAAGGTAAGGTAGCTTCAAACGGTCGTCGTGTTTAAGAGGCACTCGTCGCGCCTGCCCATACTGCGCTTTGCGGTCTTGCCAGCCATTCAAGGGAGAGCGACAGGGACCCACTTTAATCAGGTGGGTCGCATTGGAGCTTCTTGACTGGTTTATCTGTCATCTTCCTAGCGCCTGCACCGTGCACAGGTACCCATGCTCCCAGAGACCCACTCGACTTGTCGCTCCACCTCAGTCCAGACAGGTACGTGCCATGGAAGACCCAAAACAGACGGAACGGAGACGATGCAGCAAATCAGCGAAAGGAAGACTGCGTGGATCAAGGTACCTTCACGACTCATCATCTCGACACACTGTGCACAATACCTTACCTTACGTCTATCCGCAGGGTACTCTGTCATCAAGGGTGAGGCTCTCTCCTCTTACACAAGTCAACCTGCCTGGACTTGCACACAACCATCACCAATCCGTACAAGACAAAAGTACGGATATTCGCGTCAAACATCATCTGCCTCTCGGTCGGCCTGGAGTCGAGACAATCCGCCCGAATCTTCAAGTACTCTCCCTCCATTGGCTACAAATACCGATACACGCACACGAACACGGCGCAACAAGTATGCTTCGCTCACTTGCGACTCGCCCGTGTCGTACCTACAGTCTCAACCTTCCGCCGGGAATCCCAGCATCGTCTGATGAATGTGAGACCAAGCGGCCAGCCGGGCGCAATACCGCACGGTCGCATGGACTCTGAGACCAGCTTGCCTTAGCTCGACCGCTATTCATGTCACAACGATGCACAGCTGCCTTCGAGAATCGCTAGAACAACCACTTGTCTTGCACCCTCTGCAGCCGGTACCCGTCCATGTGCCAGCTGTCTCTGCCCTCCCGAGCGACGCGCTTTATATTGTACAATAACGGATAGCCATACGACGAATTCGGTCTTTCTCCGTGTCCTCACACATCTGAGACAACTTTGCCGAATTGTGGGCTGCGAGCGCGTGTGCTAGCCATCTGCAAGACTGCAAGACGCAGGTCGTAAAACTACGCCTGGCATCCCGCCTGATATTGAGACTGATCAGTCAGACCAATACCTCAATGAAGGGTGCAGTTCGATAATCATGTAGCTTCCCTTGCCAGGTGGCCACGGACGCTCTCGACGCCACACTGGCCGCTCCAGATGCGAGAAACACGCCATTGTTTAGATGAGACGGGCCCGATTGCTGCACAGTGCTCCGCCAGCAAACATTTACATACACGGCTCGGTCAAACAGGCTTTCTTTGGACGGTATCACTCTTTCTAAGACTACGAAGGCTACAGCTCGCAAAAGACGTAATGAACTCTCACCCCAGACAAGAAGAGACCGGACGTCAGATACATCGAGCGATCCTACTACACCGGCCCCTCACAGACTGATACCCACGAGGCCTAAGACCACGAAAGCCTACCGCCCCGAAGCGCTCCCGGGATGGCCTTGTTCGTCCCAAGTTACTGCTCACGTATACCTGAACTTTTGTAGGGCTTTCAGTCCATGATGTAACCCAGCTGAGGACCAAGAAGGCTGATGCTCCGGACTCCTCAGCCTAATAGAACACGTTTGGGGTCAAGGCACCAGCCAATGGACAGCTTCAGACATTTGCGTGGACACAATTAACGAAACTGTCAAAGCACGTCAACCCAGTTTTCTGGGACTAAGAGAACCTTGGACATATCGCATCTCTGTGGATCATTAAGCACACCAGTTGCTACGCGCCATACGACTTGACTCGATATCTTAATTCTATTCAGCCCAGCATGTACACTCACTTACAAGCAAAGAAAATGCCATCACGCAGGCAACCTAGCCTGACTCCTAAGGAGCAAAAATGGTCGAGAAGCAAGGGTTCTGGAACGCCCGAGAGTTCCAGTCACGACTCATTACTAGGACATGGTGCAAAGTCTCAACCGTTTGGAGGCGCTTCTGTTCATGGCCTTACCTACAATCACCTTCGAAACGCAGATCACCGTCTCCATTCTTGCATAGTCTTGTCCACTTTCTCGTTGGCGGGCCTATCCCCAGACAAGATCACCAAATCCGCTCGGGGTGGGGGATCGTTCCCACTGGTCAATGCTCAACCCGCCCGGTGGCACAACTTAAAACTAGGTCAACCGGGTGGAAGCTGAATACCTACATACGCAGTACTCAGTAGACACTCACAGATGTGTCGAAGATTTTGCTGCTCTACTCAGAAGTCCCCACGTTTCAATACCAACAGTCCTAGGCTCCCTGGCTCCCTGGCACCGACAGTCAGGGGTCTTCCGGAAATAACTTTCGCAGGTGCATCTTCACCCCAGTGACCCCACCGGCGACTAACTCTCCGTTCTACCTGGTTGCACGTCATTACCAGATTACGCTCTTGAATTCAAACACCGACAAATCCCGGCCAGAACTACCTACCCGATCAACTCGTACAACCATGCATATCTGTAGACAGTGCTCGATCTGAAGTGTACGGAAAGACAGGCGAGCAAACCCAATACCTAGTCGCGTCCCGCGGAAGCTCTACGAGCGCAACAAACAGGCCGTTTCTGCGGTTGGTTGTGACGACATACGGATACTTCTGTCATGGGCCTTACGCAGTATTCGTCTACTTGTTGAGAACCGTCTGGCAACCCACTTTCAACCGAGAGACCGTTCTCTATCCGTTTTGTGCCATGACTCGAACACAGCCTGGAGCTTCTGCCTTAATGCCGAAGAACAACCATTGCGTCATAGGTGCTCTTGTCCAAGACCCGATACTGGTTGAAGCCTATCATGTTACAGTCGAGCAATGAGGATGCCGGGTGATATCTCGAGGCCTGAGATCGGCTCTGGATGGCAGAAGTGAAGCGATGATATCACACCATCCTCGTTTGGATCAGATGCCAGCCCAGCACATTTTCTCTAAAAGTGGTTTCGGTGGTGAAGGACCACGGCGGCCATGCTTCTGTCGGCTGATCCACCACCGCTGTCCGATCTGCAAGATCGTTGCACGATGTCCTTTTCTCACCGCCGCATTGACGCTTGTCGCAGGAGAGCATTGGACTGGCGCTTGCCCGTGTCGGGGAAAGCCTCATCGGCCGTGTGCTCGTTCATCCTCACTCTCGTCCGTAGAGTTTAGTGAATGCTCATTACTTTAGCCAGTTCACCGACGGCGGGAAATCTCACCCCGGGCTCTGGCGCCGCCGATACTGCGGTAGGTTCAAGGCTGTGGTTACACAAAGACTTTTACTAGCCTTACGGCTATGCTCAAAAAGTTTCCAAATAGGTCTCCAAACGGAGCTTAGTTGTTTGAGACGAAGAAAAACTCGGGCACTGCTGACTACCGAATAGACTACTGGAGAGGTGGTCACGGGCTGAAGGATATCCTTCTTCTTTAGTTTCAATTCCCCTGTCCATGGGTTGGCCATGGTCGCTGCCGTCGCGGGGTGGCTGATCAAGTAGGATAGGTACCTCCGGCTGAAGCAGCGAAAATTAAAGTTGCACTCTATAATAACCCGAAAAAAATGATAGCTTTTTTTTTTACGCGCGAGAAGAAGCAGAAGTTCTTTGTTCCCGGGCCGCCGGGATATGGGCGACGTTCGGCTCTTGCGCCTTTTTTACGCACGTAACTCTATCTTGGAATGTATCCCCGCCAATGGGTGGCTGTGCCTGGTCTGGACTTCTGAACTCTGTGTGTGTGGTAGTTTAGAGACAGAACAAGCTTTTGGCTTGTCACGGCTTGGTGAGATGAGTTAATTAGATTGTTGTAGTCGGGATTTTTCGTAGTTAATTTTTCCCCCCCTCAACTACCGGGGTTGAGGAGCCATTTGGCGTCTTGTGCTTCTTGATGCCTTTGGAGGGCTGGCTGGAAGCTCCAGTCGCGGGAGTCCCATCCCGTTTGAACCTTGTTGGAAATGGACGGCGACCTGTTTAGTTAGGGTTTGGCGGTTTAGCCGGTCCCATGTCTTGGAGTAAGCTTGTTTGTGAGAGTTTTTTTATTGTCGACGGGGCGGCTTGCTTTTCCCCGTCGTTTCTTTGGGCTGTCTGCTACTCTTGGGAAAGCCTGGGATGGCTATGCCGAGGCGCGGGGGATCATGGGAATCCTCGAGTGCCGCGGACGTTGGTTTATTGCACCTACCTCTGTGTATTTCCTTTCCAGGATGGAAATACCGTTTAGCTCATTGGGAATCACGTCGATGACTTGCGCAGCGATCAGATGGAGTTCTTGTCTTGAAATGTTGAACTAGCTGGGAAGAGGAGGCTAGAAGGAGCATGCTAGAGCTTCATCTGGTTACCGTGATAAGGAACACTGCCGGCCGGGGCTATGTGAAGAGTGAGTTTGTCATGCGCTCCGTGGCAGATGATTCTCGAATCCCCAATGTATCGCGGACGGCCGTAAGGCTGTTGGTATTGAGCTCCGTTGATCCCACCCACGAGATTGGGAACCAGTCAGGCCGTGTCTGTTGTCAAAGATTGACAGATGGCTGCCGGAAATTTACGGCTGGCCGAGCTCGCTGCGAGGTCACCCGCGCGATCAAAGGTTTCGACGATACGAAGAGGGGTGATCAAGTCACAGGAACTTCCATAGATTTTACTTAGATTGATACAGCCATAAGAGGCCCGTACGCATGCGGAACAAGAGCAAGAGGAGGACACAGGAACAGCAGGGACAGAACAAGTGCAGAATACTTTATAGATAATTTAGAAGGAGAGTATCTTGAGGGAAGGAGACGATTCGAGCCACTGACGCTGTAGAGCTCTTTGCCTGCTGGTCTGTCATAACGATGAAAGAACAAGCCTTCCAGGTTGAGGCGAGACCAAAAGATGATGCTTCAACATAGGAGATATTCAACGTGCCCGAACTTTATGTCCCTTCGTGCCTCTCCTTCCGGAGCTCTGCTTAAACGTGTAGTCCCCTCGAGACAGCAGAGAGTTGAGTCCGGAAGGAGACGAAATGCCACGGACGTCTTTGAGACCGTCGGTTTCCTAGATACTGATCATCGGCCGAGATCTCTCGACACACAGTAATTTGAGACGTGGAGGCTAGTAATGTGGACGTCAGCCAGAACCTCAGACCGCAACCGATCTGTGTGAACTGGGAAGGATAGATGTGAGCGTCAGCGGACACATGTTGGTAGCGATTGTGAGTTGGTTATTTCCAGAGGTCTTAACCTGGCGAACGACCAGCCACGTCGATGAAGATCACGGCGATTTTGAGGAAGAGAACTTACCCCCCCTTGCCTTCATGTCTGAAAGTAGCATTACTACCAGAATATAGTAGAGGCAAACAGAGAGGCAAGGAGCCTATTGAGCGCCTGTGCACAGGAGATTCGTGATGTGCCTGTCGATACTCTAGAGTTGGGTTATAGCTAAATCTCGCCGATTCAGGGACCGTGGCAACGGAAGTCCATGTGCGCGGCCGATCTCTTCGGCGACCTTCGAAGTTGAGGAGAAGACGAGGTAGAAGGGGGTCTCCCTCATTAATATAGATTCCCCTACAGGCATGAAGAACGCCATCACAGCCTTCTCCGCGCCCTCTGGCTCCCACATTGCAAAGTGCGTTTCTAACACAGTCAGTAAGGAGAATCACGATGCTGCGAGTTCCTGACCGCATTGTCTCCAATCTCACTCTGAAATACAGAATTATGCTTTTGTTTCTATATTTGTCCCATTGCGTAGTTCGCCCAGCTTTAATGTTCTTGACTTCAAGTCTCTGACGTGACCAAGTGGCTTGAAGCTAGAGGCAAGGACTCGAGGTCGTACATAGT